AAAAATCGTGTAAAAAATGTATGCGATGTATGGTAATTTAGGGGATATGTTCCACAATTTTAAAAAATCGCGCAGGCTTAAATAACTTCAAATATTTAAAAAAAAGCCGCGCAAAAAAAAATTATTATGTTATCCATACTGCTTAGTATATGTGTAGTATCGGTCATATCAATAGCTCCTAATTTCACTTATATTTATCTATTTATTTTAAAGAATTTTCAATTCAAATACAGTTCATTCTCTAACCAAATCCATATAATCCCAAGTTTGGGACTTTTTAAAAATCTACAACAAACTTTCAACAAAATTTTTAACTTTTTTCTGAGAAGTGTTAAAACTTTTTAACCAACTTCAAAAAATGAGAAAGTTATCAAATCGTCGGAATATATATTTTTTTATGTATGTTACCGCATAACTTTGGACCAGATTCGTGCTAGAACAAAAAGTTCATGTAAAAAGAATCACTCCAGCACCTTCGTCTTGACCTGCGGGCTGTGTCGACCCCACATCCCCTAATATTAAAAGCAGAGTATGTAATTAAAGTTGAACTTAAATTTTAAAATAGGTGGCAACTCTCCTACATGTAATTTAGAAATAAAATATCTTCAAAACAATTTAGATAGATATCTATATTGAATTAATTTATTAAACCAATTGCATAAATTGAATGAAACTTGGTAAACAGGTGGCAACTCTCTGCAAAATATTTTCAAACTACAACCTCTTTCGCCTGGCACCCATATCGGTATACATATTTAAATTTTCGAATGGCCTTAATTCAAATTGAATTTAATTTTTCAAACAGGTGGCAACCTTCCTACAGATAGTTTGGAAAAAAAGTTTTTTTAAAAGCTATTGATTCATATTCATATAGTAGTAATTCATTTACCTAAATGCGTACATTCAATTTAATTTTGCAAACAGGTCTGTCGATAGGTTTGGAATTTTATCTTTGAAACGTCGCATTTTTCTTTGAAATCGCTTCATTAGTTCTCGTGCAATAAGCGTTTTTGTTGAGCTCTAAAAATTACAACTATTTATGTACAACATTTGAGCATGGCATCCATACCGAAACGTAAGTCATATTCTACGTCAAAAAGTCCGTGGAAAAAATGAGTTGCGTGTATGTATATATTTGCCATATGTATGTACATAAGTATAAGTATACAAAAGTACATAGAAATGTATAAATTTTGTATCGAAAAACATAAAAGTGCGAAATGTAAAAGTACACTTGAAAATTTAATTGGCTGCAATTAGAAACAAAACAAATTCTAACAAATTTATTATTGATCATTAAACTTTTTACAGCGTTATTTTGTTTAGTGCATAAAAGTTAACTCATTGTGGAAAAATATTTCAACTGAATTAAGTTTATACTTATTAGTTTTTTTCGTACGATTGAAATTTATCATAATTGCTTTTCCTCATTTAAAGTATTTAAGCTGAATAATTCACTTAATTACAATATTTGGAAGCGTTAACAAATACTCGACTGGAAATCTTTCATTACGTCAAGCGTTTGATACCCCATACAGTGCAGTTAGCGAATGTTTCCTATAGGGATGAAACGATATCATGCAGTAGAGAGCTGCAAAACTATCGATGGTTGCACCATTCGATATTTTTGATAGTTTTGGGCCTCACCATTCGATATTATGGATACTATCGGTAAAAGAAAAATATAACATCCTTACTATTTATATTGAATATGGTAATATTAGTAGAAAAAACAGAAATGTTGGTTTTAATCAACATTTTAGTGAGCTTTATTAAAAGGAACAAAATTTGTTATTTTAAGCAACCAAAAAAAAAAACGTTGCAAGTGTAAATTTAAACTATTAACAAAAACGAGGAAAATTCGAATTTTTCAGGTCATCAAAATTTTGAGTTTTTAATTAGATTTCTTAGAAAAATCTTGAGTAGGCTCTTTTGTAGTCCATTTAGTTTTAGTAAAAATTCCAGGTTTGAAGTAACTAGCGCTTACTGTGGATTTTTTGCAGTTTTTTGTTTCCGATAGTATCGCGATACTGGCTACCATTCATCGATAGTGGTGTCAAATTGAAACTAGTGATACTATCGATAGTGCCATCGATAGTTTTGCATCTCTATCATGCAGGTATCGATACCTTTACTTGGAATTAGAATCAAAGGAAAGTAAAATATCGGATCTAAAGTATCGGTACTTTTGGCTATGTTGATATTCTGTATGAGCTGTATTAAATTAAATTTGTTTCATCCTAAACTCCGAATAATAAAAGTTAATAATGTAAGAACTACAAATAAATAAAACAACATAACATAGTAAAACTATATCGTTGACGTTATTGCAAAACCGCCCATGAGATTTGGTAAATGATATTTAACAGAGATAATACCTTGGAAAAGTTTACAACAAGTTAATCTCGTTTAACTTGAACGCTTGCAAATAAATTTTCGTTCAGAATTTTCACCATGAAAATCTAAAAATTTTGGAGAACGCATAGTACCATCGGATATCCCGTACAAAAATCTATTGAAATCATAGTTTTCGAATTATTTTTCCAATTTTCTGTCTAATTCTCAGCTAGTCGAAAAGTAGCTTGTTTTGCACCGCTCAGCGCGCTTGGAACATTTGACGAGAATTGCCTCATATGTTTGCTGTTCGTACATCAAGGAACTCATTTTCTATGTCGCAAGAATACAAAAATAATTTCAGTTTACATTGTTTTAAAAAAGTTTATTACTAGTGAAAAAAAGAAATTAATTTTAAAGGTGATTAAGTGAAAAATCACCTTGACCTTAAGACCGACCTTCAAACGAAAAATCTTTGCATTTTTACTCTTTTGACTTTAATGAACTTAAAAAAGATAAAAATATTTTAAATAGAGTTTTTGGTTTTTGCGACCATGAAAACGGATTCCCTACCACAAAAAGCTTGGTAGAGATAATCACATTTGGCGCTAAAAAAATTCTTTCCAATATGGTTAAATTTGTTACCTTCTTTATTTTTCACTTGCGCCAAATAATTGATATGGTTAAAATAAACGTGAAAAGTTCTATCCAGCCGCATTTTTGGGTTTTCCATTGCTTAATGCTTGGTATTCTAAACTTCTTACAAATGACACAAATGAGTCAGCCATAACAACGAATATTTAGTAGTACGAAAAAGTTTAAGTTTTAGTACTAATATAACTAGGAACAGTTGAGTGACCAAAATTACCCATCACTAAAGGAGCCGACTTTTCATGAGGGGGCGAGAAAACTGTGTTTATTACAAAAACTCTTATTATTGAATTATGAAGAGTAATGACAAAGCTCTTCGTTTTCTTGTTTTTTGGTGTTTCTCTTACAAAATGAATTCTCGATAATTCACATCCTCCCCTGATGCGCTACTACTTTTGTTCTCCACTTTTAAACGCTCTTTTAGTTTTAACCCTTGCACAAGCGGGTGACCCACTTGGCCAAATCGTTTGTGATGTGGCAATTGAGACCTATTTTCAGTTGAATTTTCAAAGTTTAGTAAACCAGTAAATACTTGCATATTGTACTCAACTATTCACAACCTTAGGATTGCTCTATACCGAAAAAGCGCTCAAAGCTTCCCATGTATTTTATATGGGGAAAAACAAGTTTTTGTAGATACCAATTCGATCGGACAACTTCGTTTTTATAAGCTTTTTTCTTCACTAGACTTCCAACAATAGTACCCAATTGTTTATTTAACCACTTTCTAATTTTAACTATTTTTTATAGAAGCCCTAATAACCTCAAAAGGGGCCCCATTGCGCTTTTAGCGACCTCTAAAGATTTTTTAATTTCAAAATAAAAAACAAGAGTATATTTTTTTTCGGTATAGAGCAATCCTAAGGGATAAGAGTATTAAAATTCCGACTTTAATTTTTTTCGACCACCCTATTGTACACTCAAAATATACAAAAATGATCAGTAGGTACTTGGTAGAGATACACGAGTATATACTTCTAAGTTCCGATGCCGGACCGTCACTCTCTCTGGTGAGAGGGGCATAGAGACTGTGCCACTGTCCGCCTGAGCAAAAGCTGCTACATTGAAAACTCAAAAATGGATTGTAACTAGTCTTTACTTTAGATAAAAAAGGACGAAAACACAGTCATCTGGAAAAAGTACTCGTACACAAAGAACATAAAGATAGATCCGTAATAATGTTCAAGTAGAGGAAGGCGACTTTTAATGCCTACTCTTTGTGTTAAGAGTTTGAGAAGCTCTCGTATATCATCTACAAGGTCAAGGAAGACAATGGGCCTCATGCATAAAAAGTGACTCAGACTTAGACTAAATTTTTGCATTGCTGAAGTGCGTTGAAGCTGAAGCATTTGTACTGAAACTCGGGTCTGAGCTTAAGCTCGATTTTTAAGCGTGAGGCTTTATGAGGTTTCAACTTCAGGTTCTTTGAACCTAACTTTACTTGTTGACATTATTCAGAGAAAGTACTTGAGCCATAAAAAAGATAATCTACTATTCTCGAGGTGGCACTAAACTGTCTTTCAGCTTCTGTCTTTGTGCCAATGAACTCATTTATGTATATACATTTCCGATTTTATACAGTGTAACTTCAGTAAAGGACAAGGGGATTTTTAATGATCGAGTATAAATTGTTTACATAAAGACGTGCTTACATACATGCATATAAGTATATGTAGATAGGAAAAAAATGATGACCATCACAACAAAGTCAATAGCAGACGCTACGTGAAATCCCCAAAAACTTACAAATTTACAGCCTGAGAAGTTATAGCCACATAAATATGTAAATTAGCAAGAAAAGAAATAAACAAACAGAGCACAAACAATAAAAATAAGAGCGCTAGCCAAGCTTTCGCGAATAAAGAGTTTGACAGAACAAACATACTTAGGTAGATATATTGTGAGGTACCTTTTTCTGCTTTTTATATTTTCACAGTAGCGAAAAAGCATAAAAATAAAAGTAAAATTTATAGCCGACGGCCCTATGCTGTTATGGGTATAAATAGAGGCGGCGGCTGCGCATTCGATTGTGAGTCTCAATTGAGCCGGTCAAGTGTACGGACGTATTTAGTTTAGATACAAAATAAAAGTTAAAAAAAAATGACGAAATTTTTCATTGCTGCTCTACTCTGTGTTGCTGCGTGTGCGCAGGTGAGTTTAAGCACACAGTTTTCAAAAGTACAAAAGAAAATAATAGCAAACATACTACGCTTCTTTCTTCCTCTACTCAATAGTTGTCCACCGCTGCTAGCATTGCCGAAGCGATCGATATCGATCTGCGCGAAAACTTAAGTAGCTACAACAAAATCCTGCCCGAAGTCGACGCAGCACACAAAGCCGATTTGGAAAAGCTGATCACGCAGACAGAGACTGCGCTCAAGGAGACCGACCCCAAGGAGAAGAACAAAATTTTGGATGCTCTACATGGCGCTTTCCCCGAAGAATTCAATCAGTATTTGAGCAAGAAATTGCAAGAACTCCATATTGATGCGGATATTCAACGTTCGCTCAGCTTCTATACTACGCTGTTGGAAAAGACTGAAGCCGGCGAATGGAAGCAGGATATTGAACAGGCTATCGCCAATTTGAACTCAATCACGAGCGAGACTGATGCTGCCAAGAAGGTCGAATTGTATGCACAATTCTCCAAGCAGCTCAAAACTGATTTCCAGGATTTCTTGAAGAAGCAAACTTTGCCACAGATTGAGCAGTCGTTGAGCGGTACTATTAAATTCTTTGATGGTTTGCTGGCGGAAGCTGATGCGCCGCACAAGAATGAAATCGCCGCCTTGAAGACGCAGGCTGAAGCTGGTTTGGCTGCCACCACCTTGGAGGAGAAGCAAAAGATTTACTATGAAATCACCAACCCAGCCGATAAAGAGCTCTTCAATTACCTGAAGGAAAAGTACATTGAGAAGAACTAAAGTGTTGGATGACTAATGAGTTTTGTATGATAGTATCGTAAATATAATTTATCTAATTGTTAATTAATGTGTGACGAAAAAAACGACGGACTAATGCAAAAGCGTTTGTGTGAAAATTAAAATGAATTGCAAATAAAAAGGAATATGCTAAATAAAATTAGTGTTGCGTTTATTGGTTTTTTAAACGATTTTTTATTAGATTATTTGCTAAGTTGCGTTGCCTTGTTAACTGCCATCCAGACAGGTGTTTCTGCATACAAAATAGGCTATTGTTGAGCTTAGGTCATTTGCAAATTAATTTCAATTAACATTTTTATAGTATTTTTTATTGGCGAATATCGAATTGTATACCTATCTACTAAATATGTTTTGTGTTACGGTTCTTAAAAAATAACATTTAATATACATACATACTTCGAAACGTAGCTTGCCTACTTTTAAAAAACTCCACCATTGAATAGTTTTACATAAATTTTATACATATTTGTTTACTCAATATTCACAACGGAAAATTTACATATTTTCTTCTGATTTGTTTTAATTAATGAATTAGTAATTAGTGAAAGCTAAGAACTAGAAATTAGTTAATAAATAAATAATAGTGTTTAAATAACTACAACTAAGGCTGCCAACAAAGGCGCACAGCATGGCGATGTCTGGCCGTACTCTGCATTCAGTCAAAGTAGAGACAATGGCAAACAATACTCCTATGATATGAGTCCTATTGTAGTTACGATAACCGGATTGTGCACTATTGTGAGCAGTGGGATGCGACAAAAATAGCATAAAGGGAGTTAGGCCTGTGCTCGGAAAGCTGTCGCACTAGGAATGCAAATGCTGCAAAACTGAGATAAATATATTCACCACAAGAAAAAAAGAGTCCTTTTCTTCAACGATTCTTAACTGAATGCTAATGCTTTTTCTCTATCGTCAAGTGCCAGACACTGCCAAGTTAAAGTGGAGAATAAAACCAAAGGAACGAAGGTTAAATAAAGAAAAAAAAAAACTTCTGCGATCCAACCACCTGCGATTAAAGTGAAACTTCCTTCAATAGCCAGTGTAGCATCGTCGCATCGTGTGATTACTAAGGCTATCTGCACACTTGTCGTCCAATCATAGTTGCGTTATCGTCTCGCCCTGAAATTTTGAGCCGAGTACATGCATTTCAAAGGAGATCTGCACACTTGTCGTTATCGGCTAGTTATCGGCAAATTGTAGAAGATGCAGAAACGAAAAAGTACGGCACTGTCGTTTTCTAATCGTTGTGCACGCATTGTTTGTTTACATTTTATGGAAAAATTAGTGAAAAAGTTAATATTTGCATAAAAATTAGTATTTTTGCATAAAATCTGTGGAAATTATTAAAAAGTGGATAATTGCATTAAAATTCAATAAAGGTGAGCGTTTTAACTATAAAATATGACGAAATTGTAAAAAGTCTCAGTGTGCATGCACAAAACACATATCAGGAAAAGAAAAGAAGAGATATTACCGAAATATTAGGTCTAGAATTGTTGCAGCCCAGTCTATATTTTAAAAATTGCAGGCTTTTTTTAAATATTTCGCGAAAATATCAACCAGAAAATACCTGCTCCAAGTGAATTTTTAGACGCCAAATGAATTGAAATATCACGACCGAATGTGCGAAAGTGTAGTCGTCATGTAATCGTTGCATCATGATTGTGACGATGAAGCAACTATGATTGGACGACCAATGTGCAGAAAGCCTAACAGCATCGTCGATTAGCAACAACAGCGAGTAATAACTCTGCTAAAAAATTGGCGTCGTCAATATCGGTGAACCATACATATATACAAATGTATACCTAAATGCTCAGAATGGAAAAAGAAATCAGAATGAAAAAGAAATTTAGCCGTGACTGTCTGTCCGTCCGTCCGTCTGTACACGCAATGACTCGATTAAAAATTGAGATATCTTAACGAAACCCGGTAATATATATTTTTTTGAAGTGAAACTTTTTACACGAGTTTGGAGATGGTGGCGTTAAATATTTTACACCAAGTCTTAAAATCTGTATCGTTCGTTCGACTTTCAAAAATTAGTCACATGAAAGGCCGTATCCTTCGGGTGTGCAAAATAGCTATAGTTCCATGAAAGGAGTTGCCACATGTTAGAAAATCGAATTCAAAATTTCTCTGCCGCAGAGGGTTGCGTTAAATATTTAACACCGAGTCATAAACTCTGTATCGTTCGTTCGATTTTCAAAAATGAGGTGTCAAATGAAAGGGCTCGACCTGTAGATGTGTAATATGATTTTCGTTTTTTAAAGGGTTGCCATATATACGAAAATCAATTTCAAATTATTTAGTAAAATAAATAAAGTATCCCAATATGGGTATCAAAAGAAATGGTTTTGAATAAAGATGCAGATGAAAATGAAGATGAAGATGAAAATGAAGACGGAGATGAAGATGAAGATGAAGATGGAGATTGAAGATGAAGATGAAGATGAAGATGAAGATGAAGATGAAGATGAAGATGAAAATGAAGATGAAGATGAAGATGAAGATGAAGATGAAGATGAAGATGAAGATGAAGATGAAGATGAAGATGAGGATGAAGATGAAGATGAAGATGAAGATGAAGATGAAGATGAAGATGAAGATGAAGATGAAGATAAAGATGAAGATGAAGATGAAGATGAAGATGAAGATGAAGATGAAGATGAGGATGAAGATGAAGATGAAGATGAAGATGAAGATGAAGATGAAGATGAAGATGAAGATGAAGATGAAGATGAAGATGAAGATGAAGGTAAATGTAATTAGACTGATATGTTCGACCTGTAATTCTCGCAGGAGATTTTAATGTCAACTTTTCGCTGGCCGAATCTGATGAACTGTCAAAATTTTTCAAAGGAAAATTTGCATTGAAAACTGTTAATGGTAGACTAGATCCAACAACCAAAGGAAGGACTACCACTGATGCAGTTTTTGCCAGAAATATTAATAATATTGAAATACAACATTTAATATCTTACTTTAGTTACCACAATCCACTAGTGAACATTGTAGATATGAATGTTTTATCAGCCGCAAACAATAATTATACTTAGCAGTAAAAAATTAAAGCTCGTTAAAAAAAATTTAAATAAATCTATTTTGTATATTAGAAAATATGCACATGTTTATCGCACATTTCTTGCTTTCTGGAATTTCCTCTATTAAGTTTAAGTTATTTTGTTGTAGTTATCTTCATGTGAACGTTTTTCTGATTATTTATGAAAAATATCTTCATTTTGAAGATATATTCACTCTTCTGGCAACACTGGGTAAACCCCCCTGCTTACCATGTAACGGTAGTTTTCGGAAAGGTGAAAGAACTATATTTAATACGTGCGCCGGGTGTTCTACGTTCGGCTTCGCCCGAACTTTGACTTCTTTACTTGTAAATTTTATCTTTATCTTAATTTGAATCTTCATCGCACCCAACCACATTCGCCATTCCGTCATTTTTTCTCTCGGTTGTTCGTTTCATTAGAATTTGGATTTACAGCCAACCGCGGGCAAAGAAGTTTAATTTCAAATGCTTTCGATGCTTTTCGTAATAAAACTCTGGCTTGTGACTGGGATTTAATTTCGGAGTTATAGCCATTGGGCAAAAGGCGCCGATTTCTCCAATCATTTTCTTGATCTATTGGAAAACTGTTGAAGTGGACTGCATTACCAAGATGCTGATTTGGGTGAAACGGTGAACCGATCTGGTACCGGTGACATTCCGCCAATTGATCTGTTTATGAAAGAAACTCCTTCGGAAAGTTCGTTGAGGGTACTAGCACCCTGGAAAGTATGTTCTGAAGTCATTCAGCGACTCCTGGATAACCAGTACATAGGAAAATTTCTGCCCAAAAATTTGTCTAGAGAAAAACTGTCTCTTTTTAAAACTTCCATTAAAAACATAGTGGAATACGTAATATTCTCACAACCCACAAGTCTTACCTTCACAGGTGCCTTGAAAATAAGCTATCGAATTTATGCAGTATTCTATTTATAGGACCCTATTGTCGAAAGCTTATTACGCTGGTGCCATTGCGGGCGCGAAACGACCTTGCCCTCTTTATTTCTATTCCTGAGTTTCATAAGAGTCGTATTTGTCAGCAGTGGTAAAATATGAGTATTCGAAACTGAAATGCCCCCGTAACTATAAAACCCTATGGCTCTGCTTCTATCCCAAAAAATATTCAACTTTGACTGCGATGGGCAGGATAATTAATGCTGTTTTCTAAGGAGACTGGGCAATGTGCCTTCGAGTGGACATACATGATTAGGGCAGAACACTGCCTAAGTTTCAACTCAGAAGGGACGTAAAAATCCGTGGAGGATTTGACAATGATCCCGTACTCCAAATTCCTCCAAAAGCCTGTACTTTTTCTTCTGGTAAAATCAATAAAAGTGTCAAGCGATCATTGGTTGACGTTTTTACAGGAAATAATGCTTTTTTTGTTCCCGTACTTTTTGTTGTTACTCACTTTTTACACTCAATTTAGAGAGTAATTTTGCTGTTTGACATTTTTACAGTATTGTACACGAAAAGTATTGGATCAGAGCTATATTCTAATAACGTTACTGTACTAATGAAAAGCATACTCACATGAAAAGGATTTAGAAGCGTTTAACTCCCAGAAATTTTTGTTATGAGGCTTTGCCATTATTATCAATACTGCTTACTTTATTCATATTAAATTTCCTTAGTACGAAAACTAAAGAGTATAAGAATAAATTAGAAGCATTGTGATCCTCTGCAAGGGACTTACTCAACATTTTCTGTGTGCGGATGACGGAGATGCTCCAGTGATCTCTAAAGCAGAGCACGTGACAAACAACCTAAACGACATTCCGCCTTTTTCAAATCATGCGATTGAATGAAATGCTAGCTTTGTTATTGAAAGTAAGTGAAGTATTGCGCTGGATTTTTTTTTTTTTGGTACTAACTACTTAGTTAAGTATTTCACTGATGAAGCCATCAAATACAAATTTGTTAGTTATTTGTTTGCGCTTCAGTTTGAGGAAGCGTGCAGTTGTTGCGTGCGATTGTTAGAATTTTTAAGTATTTTTTTTCGCATTTTATTTAATTTGCTATAATTTTAAAATAGGCGGTTTCGAGCGACCTTACGATTGCAATGCACGGCGGAAGTTTCGATGCACTGAAAGCGAAAGGTTTCGATTTGAGAAACTAAAACTATTGAACCAATCTATATATATAAAACAGTAGCCGTTTTCGTTGTTCGGAGTTAACTCAAAAACTACTGAATAGATTTCAGTAAAATTTTCAGACGTTATACCTTGTATATCTGGTCCTGTTATAGGCTACCAGAAGACTTCGTAGGTGGCGCTGGGGTCGAATTATTTATAAAAGTCGTATTTATGAACCGATTTCGTTAAAATTTAAAATGTAAGCTACCAGCACGATGGAAAGTACAGACCCGCTAGGTGGCGCAGGAGTCGAGTTATTTATAAAAGTCGTATTTATGAACCGATTTAGTTCAAATTCAAAGTATACGCTACCTGCATGATGAAAAAGAGCCTTTGCGAAAAACGGACCCGATAAAAGACCTATTTATGAACCGATTTTGTTAATGAAAATTCGAAACGTTTATTACTTTCATGATGATTTTTTTTTTGATTCGAAATATATATATAGAGAATGGTTTCATTAAACGGCTCGCAGGTATGGACGCGGACTTTCAATTCTCAATTTTCGAATGAAAAAAAGCCGATAAAATAATCGGTGATCTCGGACTTTAATTTTTTTAGTCCAGTAATAACTGTTAAACTTGGCCAAATATTTGTTTGGACCGAAATAAAAGTCCTTTCCTAATAATAAACAAATCTCTTATCCAAATTAAACAAATTTCGTATAAAATTAAGGAGGACTAATAGAGATTTCAAACTCAAATATCTAGTTTCCCCTATTGAAAGATATTCCAAATCAAAATGTTATCTAATTACCATCGAACAAACCTTGAGTTAAGTATGTATATGAATTTCTTTTGCATCTAACTATAAAAGAGTATATCAATAAGTGGTAACCTTCGTTTGGATATTTCTGTTTGAAAGCTTTTATTTGCTGATGTAATGTGGAACGATTTTCCGTCATCCTTTGTCAAATTTGGTTTGGAGACAAACCGGTTTCGGCGTTGTGCCATCTTCAGTGTCAGAGAACGAAAAATGTTGTTAATTTTCCTTTGATCCCAGGACCTTCTGGACAACAATCCTAGACTTAGAAAAAAGTCCAAGTTTGGCTAAAAAAGTAGAAAAGTTTGGAAAAAAAGTAGAGTGAAGAAGGCGCGCATTGACCTTTTTCTGCAAGCGAATTTTTCGGAAGACTTGGGGTCTTAATCGAAAGATTTTATTCTGGACTAGCAAATACCCGGCGTGCTTCATTGCGCTTTACAGGTATTTTGTGTTGTTACCCCTTATAACTTCATTCATAAAGAATAAAATAGATTTGAAGAGCTTTGTGAAGTGATATTTTTTTCTGAAAAAGGTTGTTGTTAATATATTTTTGAAGGTATTTCATTTTGGAAATTTAATTTATACTATTATAACTCGATTCTACATATCGTGCGCTTTCTTCAAATGTGTATTAATTCAGTATTCTGCTTATCTCATCGATTTAACTAAATTAAATTTTACAAATATAAAGGAAATCAACTTTCTTAAACTTCTTTAGTTTGATACCCGTATTGTAATATTTAATTCTTTTTCTCAATTTAATAATTGTATAAAGTTTTTCAAACAAGTAGCAACCCTCCTCAAATATTTTTTTGGCAGTAAACTTTCCTAAACTTCTTTAGTTTGATATTGCACTGTTTAATTTATCTTATCAATTAAACCAAATTAAAATTTCCAAAACAGGTGGCAACCTTCCACAAAATCATTTTCGACCTTAAGCCTCTTAAAGCTTTTTCTTTTGACAGCAATATTGCAATATTTGCTTTATCTTACCAACTTAATTAAATTTAAATCTTCAAACCGGTGGCAACTCCCTAGTTAGTTTTTCCTATATTTTAAGTTATACGTTTAGAAATGCATCGGTGAAAACTGCGTTCGATTCCATGCATTAGTTTTCTAGCGGTGCGCGTACAAATATACAGACAGACACAAAAAAATTCTAAAAATTGTTGATTTGGCCTCTGTTGCTATAATAAAGACCCCCCCCCCCATATTTTATTTTCTTTAATATCAATAATGTACAGACATCCGTCTATTACAATTTTATTATACCTATTGTATGTACGCTACAGTTGTCCGTCCGATCTAAGTTACTGTATGGTGGATAGCCTTACAGAACTAGTAAAATCATGTAATGGTTTTACAGAGTTCATTCACACGCTCAATATTATTAAAAACCTATTTTCTATAGATCTTCGTTTAATGTATACTGTATCAGTGTTTGCAGTAATTATTTACGTCCACCACGCTACCGCCGGCTACCGATTGCATTCGATCTAAAATAGAATTCCGCAGAGATTTCGACGCCCTTGTCCCGTCGCGGTCCGAGTGGTACGGGGTACTTTATGTATCGATGGCTCCAAAATGAAACGAAGAGTTAGACTAGGCATTTTCTCTGAACTCGTCGTAACTTTTACAACAAAATCGAAGCCGATTACGACTCTTTTAAACACAGTCAGTAGACAGCACCAGTTAGATTTAATTTGGGTGCCTGGTCATAGCAACATTTCTGGAAGTGGGGCTGTAAATGAGTTAGCCAGGGAGGCCTTAATTTAGGGCCAGATTTAACCTCTAATCTTAACTATATATACATGGCAATATGCATATGTATATGGAAATATTTCTCCATAATCTTAAAAAATCGGAGCAGAGGTAGCGCATGAATTCAGGCTGCGGTATAGTTAAATTCATGTAGCCCCTGTAGAACCCTAAGAGAACAAACAACTTATTAGGAAAAATCAGACCTGACATTGCGAGGCGGTTCTTACTGCGTTTGGCCAGTTGGTATCCACGCTCAGAAGGCTGGGAATCGCCTACAACGACTTCTGTAGAAGCTACAGAAATGAAAATGAATATCAAACATTTTTGTACTTGGACCTACTATAGTATTTCGCCTGCATTCTAACATAACCTGACCTAACAATGGGGTATCGTCAAGTTCACTAAAGAGTCAAAGTGTTCTCTACTAGCAGCCAACTATAAAAAGCAGAGAGCTAAGCTTTGTTTCTCCATTTATGTTAATCATATTTGATTATTCGTTTTGGGATTTTTCTTGCTTTTCTAGTTCGCAAATCTAAGTCACTTCAATTATGTATGTAGTACTCTATAGATAGCCACCTAAACTCAATTATTGTATGTTTCCTGTGGTCATCTGCATATGCTCAAGTGGACACGCATGCATTCAAAGGCATTATAGTCGCATTAGATGCTTAGGTATGCATTTGGTGCATAGAGCTTGCGAATGCCATTGAAAGTACCGTAAAATTGAATTAAACTAAATTTTGAGTGCTTTATTTTTTTTAGCAATTTTTCGCTCAATTTCGCAAAAAAAGAGACAGAGACAATGTGACTGAAAATGCCTACCACAAGCATACGGTGCAGTAATTACTTAGAATTTGAGCGGGACTAACGTGTTTAAAGAAATTTGAAAGTTGTTCGGATAGCAAGTTTTATTACAAGTAACAAAAAATTTAAATACATATAAATGCATATTTTTTTGCCGTGTAATTGCCAATAAAAGTACGTTGCACGCAATCCGTTCGATCTTTAAGAAACTTGAACGTTGGAGGCAGAAAATCTCTACTCAAAAGTAGAAAAGCAGAACGCTGAATTGAAACAATGTTTTTACAAAAGCTGTTGCAGATAATATTTCAAATTATCCTAGTGCTACAGGTACGAGCAAATTTTAAAATTCCCAAAAAAAAAGACATTAAAAATAAAACAAATTAAAACCGCAATCTTTCTACCCCGCTCACCTCGTAGTTCATCGCCGCCAGTACAGACGAAGTCGACGTGGACGAACTGAAGTTACAAATCAGCAGTCATCTGAGCTACACAGCGCGACGTCTGCGGCTTGTACAACAAAATGTAGAAGCTCAGTATGCCGAGGAGTTGGAGCAGTTGCTCGCACGTTACTTAAAAGCCGCCAATGCTGAAGATCCCCTAGTGGAAGAGAAGCTGCTACTCGAATATGAAGGCGAGCAGCGACAGACGTTTATAGGCTATCTTAGTCTGCAATACGACGAACAGTTCCTCAATGAGGACATACGCATACAGGAGTGGAGTATGCGACAGTTGTTGTCACAGCTGGGTGGTGGTGGTGGTGGTGGCCCAGTGGCTGAGGAAATTGAAAAGATGCTGCCAGCGTATGAAACCGCAGCGAAAATTGAGGATTTCGATAAGAAATATGCGGCTTTTGCGGAAATACAGGAAGGCTTTTCGCCGGCCCTTTGGCAGCTACTAGATGCCGAACCTGAGGATGTGATGTTACTGAATGTACAGTTGCAATTCTTTCGGGAATTTTTAATGTATCTGCTGAAACACGAAGATGCAAGGCAGTTCACTGTGAAGTTGAGAAATGTGCTTGCCGAGGTGGAGGCGGCACTGGCGAGTGCGGATGTGAAGCAAAAAGTGGGTGTGCTCGATAGTTTTGATGATTTGACGACGAAATTCGGACGATTTTTTGATTACAAAATATTGGAATTTGAGTTTGATCGGTTTGGGCGTTGAAGTTTTTGGTGATCGGTTAAAAATGTGTTCAATGGGTTTAAATTGTGAATAAATTTTAATATTGAAAAATTTTTATGAAAATAAAATAACTCTTTCAATCTGAATTGCATGAATTTGTTATTGGTATGCGTGGCAAGTGAAACTAGAGAAATTTATTCAAGAGCTGACAATTTTGAAATCGTATAAGAAAAGCGAGCGCTCTAAAGACGCTGTTGTTATCGTGTGTTATCAGTTTTAACCGGAGTCGATCCAAGGCTCAAGCAAAATGCTTTAACGGCTGAAGAAGCCCTTCAGGCCTGCAAAGATAATATCAATCGATTGCTCTAGAACAAAAATGGTTCAAACGAGAATATGAGTTTCTCTGCATTATGGCGACGAACCGACATATATACATACATTTTTAATGTGAACATGTATTAAAAGCGAGTCTCCCCTGAATCGTTTTTCGAATGTCGAAATTGTTGGATACTTTTTAAATCGTTAAGGAGTATCGATAAATACTTAAAAGTATCGACTCAGAACATCACTAATTACAAGTAAAATTGCGGAAACTGGACATTTTAATCTGCAATACTTTCGGAATAAAAGAGACTGATGCATTGTATTTTAAAATTTTGGAATTCAGGGTACATGTGAAATAGAATTAGGTTCCCCAGGAAGAAGGAAATCGAAGAAAAAGAATTAGTGGGGAATTGGTGAAGTGTCAGTTTTTTAGATGAATACAAGATAAGGTAGATTGAAGTGAAACAACAGTAATGCTTCCCAGAACGGCCGATTCAATATAATCGAATCATGCCGATTGATCCAATAGTTCCTGCGAAAATTCTCACGCATTAAAATGGATTGATTACACAGTGCAACAAAAATTTGGTGGCGGAAAAAATCGAATTCAGTTCGAAAGCCTTATGTTCAAGTAGCAAACCTGCAAAAGATTCTTGGATTCCCATACATTTTTTTTTTATGGACGAAACAATTTTTATGTAACCAGTAAAACGTAGAAAAAACGTTGATTAATTCTAGGGAAAATTTTAAAAATTTACTTTGCTTTCTGTAGACTTACGTTAATCGTATAAAAATCAGACACATAACAGTTATTAGTTTTATCGGAAAAAAAGTTGTTCCATAACAGTTATTAGATGAGAAATATTTTTTATTTCGCCAATAAGAGTTATAAACCAACGTTTATTTTTTACGTTGCCTGATAACTGTTATGCAGGAGGAATGTGTTGTCCATCGCCAATAAGAGTTATTTCGCGACGTTTTTACGTTGCTTGATAACATTTGTTACCCAAAGTTTATTTTAACGTTGTCTGATAACAGTTATTTCACTCCTCCTCTTTTATTTCTATCATCTTTATCTTCTTCTCCAACTCCGTTTTCCCCAATATTCTTATTTTATAATGTTTATCAGACAACGTAAAAAATAAACGTTGGCTAATAACTGTTATCAAGCAACGCAAAAAATAAACGATGGGCAATAACTAATAATAAAACAACGTAAAAAGTAAACCTTGGGTTATAACTCTTACCGGCGAAAAAAAAAATATTTTTCATCTAATAACTGTTATGAAACAAAGTTTTCGTTAGATTCGATTCGATTTCAAAATTCGGGCAACGTTTTCAATTTGTAAATTCGAGATAACAGTTATTTTAATTTTTGTCTGAAAATAGCCCTAGTAAAAATTTACGATAAAAATATTTTTGGAAACTTTTAACCCTCAAGCGCCCACCGAAATCCCCTTTTTGTAGAGAAACTTCTTTGCGCTCGGTTGCTTGTAAACCCAAGCTCCGATGAAAAGAATATGCAACAAAAGAAGGGATGGGATGGCTGCCGAAGTTGGGCACGATTAAGAAAAAGATTGAGATTAAGATTAATATTGAGATCGAGATTAAGGCTAATATTAAGATTAAGAATGAGACTACGAGCAATATTAAGATTAATATTGAGTTTAAGATTAAGATTAAGATGGAGGTTAAGGTTAAGATCAAGATTAAGAATGAGATTAAGATTGATATTAAGAGCAAGATTAGGATTAATATTGAGATTAGGATTAAGATTAACATTAATTTTGAGATCAATATTGAGATTAAGATTAAGATCGAGGTTAAGGTTAAGATGAAGATTAATACTAAGAATAAGATTTAGACTAAGGTTATGGTTAAGTTTGAGAATATTATTAAGATTAAATTTGAGATTAAATAGGAGCAAGATTAAGATTAACATTGAAATTAAAATTATTATTGAGGTTAAGATTAAGATTAATATGAGATTGCGATTAAGTAGGGGCAAGATTAATATTTATATTAAGTTTTAAACTAAAATTCAGACTAAGACTTGCCGCCTAAGAGACTTCGCAGCCAACAACTGATATGAAATTTTGATCATTCCTATTTGGCATCCGATTCGTAAAAAAATTAAGAAAAGTCATGAAATGTGTTGAAGGGATTTGACGCTGTAGCCCTCAGCGTTTTAATATAGAACTTTGTTTTCAGTTTCTTAATTTGTTTAGACGTAAATATCACAATAAAATAAAGTAAAATAAAAAAGTTGCAGAAGAAAAATGTAAGTATTTGTAGTAAAAAAGTTATATTAAATTGTATTATTTGCACTTCTTTACTTGCACTTTGACAACAGATTTATATGCATATGTAAGTAAATAAAATGCAAAAATTTTCCAATGAATTCCATTTAAATACATACATACATACATAGGTACATAGAAAATGTCAATAGTAATTATTTACAATTCAACAAAAAACTCAAGCAAATATATGGCAAAAAATAAAACAAAATATTTGTTTTTAACACCGCACAACAAAGTCCAACTCTTTCTACATGCTAGTCACGGGTCAACAGATTCTGAAGGACTGGAATATAGGCTCTTAAGGCCTTTGTGATATGCAAATAGGAAATTACTGTGAAAAATTAGTCATATGTACAGCCCGCATGTACAAGTATTAGTTCATGGAGCATGAGAAAGTATTAATCTTTGTTTTTTATATAAGTATACATATGCATACATACATATGTACATACATATAAGTCATATAAGTTCTTTGAAATGCCACTGTTTTTCGTTTCTCTCAATTACTACGTTTATTCAAACAAATCAAATTGTGTAATATTCGATGTGAATTTTTTTTTACATTCACTTAAAATTCTACATATTATTAGTTAAGAACATTTTCATAACACCCATAATACTATTTTAATTAAAAGTAAATTATAATAAATTAGTTTAAAATAAATATAAACTGCTTTATAATATGTATGAAGAAGTGCATACATATGTATGCATATATATATATATATATATATATATATAAATGCTTTTATGAGAGTATTTTCAATGTTCATAAATTTTTTTGACTACTCGAGCATACAAAAAATCACTTTAATTCCAATATGTAGAACATTCCGCTTTTAAAAATAAACTACTATATTGTTGCTTTTGCCTAAATATTCTTCAATCCCTTCATAATCAAATAGTCCTCCAAATCTTTAGTGCGCTCCACAAGCCATACCGAGTAGAATAGCTGTCGCTGCATCTCATTGTAATCGTTCTCCACCAGCGCTGAGCTAACAATATTGTATAGCTCCTGTAGTTCGGTAGCAAATTTTTCATTCTCCTCTTGCAACAGATTCGCATAGAAATTGCGATATTTGCCCAGATTGCGTTGAAAGTGTAACATCCATGAACATTTCTCGCTGGGTTCGATCGTTTCGTTATCACTGTTTTTGCAGTCGGGATCGCGTGGTATGAGGAAGGCGGGCGTGCGGGTGAACTGGCAAGACAAAATATGGGTGGTACACAGATGAGAGATTAATTGAATTGCGTAAATATATATGGTCTAGTATTTATGTAAGCTTGTGAATATGCATATTTTTTATTATTATATTTTATTTGCAGTTTTAGTCAAAACATGCAATGTTTGTTTGTTGAAAATATTGCGATTAATTGCGCGTTTTTTTGCTCAAGCAAAAATTTGTCTATACAAAATTGTCGGAAGGAAATTTAATACTGCGTTGTTATTGAACGAACAAACTTTATTAACAAATTCGTTTGCCTTACAATTACTAAAGCCAGTTAGAGGTACGTTTTTTAACATTTCAAACCGCAAAATTTGCACGCTACAAAATCGAAATTCGCGTGAAAGAATATGAACTCATAAAATTATTTAAATTAAATGTTAAACATATTTTTCTACTTCCATTTTATGTAGAGAACGTGAAATTCAATATTTTTTTTTTGATTTACGTTAAAGAAAAGATATTTTTTTTTTTTAATTTTGATACTACAGGTAGGTACATAAAGTGACTCAAACAAAAACTCACATGTTTTCTTTTTTAATATTCACAATGTGTTTTTTATGTTATTTTTCAAAATTTATTTGCTTTAATTAAAACTATATGAATCAAAGTTTTAGAAAATTTTGTAAAATTTAACAAATTCTCACCAAATTAGTGCAAAATGGCGCTTATTTTATGAAATTTTTTTGCAACGGTCTTGCGCCATTTTTTTCCTAAGAAATTTATGTTTATGTTATATACAGTGACTCAAACAAGTGTTAATATGTTAATTTTTTAAATATTCGTAATGTTTTTCAAGTTGCTTTTTCTTAGTTTTTTTTCATATTAATGCTTAACCCAAAACCATATAAACCAAATTTCAAACAATACAAAATTCAAAAAAATTTCATAAAAATTGCTAGCTATTTAATCAGAATCTTTAGAACGGTTCTTTTATGTAATAAATGCAAGTTAATAAAAGTGTCGCTGTTAAAAATAGACGCAATTTTTTAGCCGGTTGAAACTTGGACCTTATCAGAAATTTTTACGAAAAGTTCTTGAATTTTCCTAAATTGTGTATAAGCTTTGAAACTTAGATTTATAGTGTTTAGTTGAAGCATTGATATTTAAAGAATAACAAGCAAATTTTGACATTAAGAACATTGTGAATGAATATAAAAAAAAAATCAACATGTGAACACTTTTTTCAGTCACCGTATGTACATTAGGGCGACCCAAAAAAAAAAGTAAAATCGAAATATTATTTCTCTCATCATGTATTTTATCAGGGGAAAAGCAATTTTTCGCAAATTTCCTGAAAATCAGTATTTTTCGATCGGAAAACTCTGTTCAGCGACTTTTCGATCGGAAAGCTTTGTTTCTTTTTCGGAGACTTGCAATAATAATACCCACTTATTTATTATAACTATTTTTTAATAGTAACTATATTTACTAGGTCCCACAAAAACCGCAAAAAATGCAATGGGGAACACATAAAAAATCGTTTATATTAACAGTTTAAATAAAAAATTGGGTATTATTACCAGAAGTCTGCTGAAGAGAAACATAGTTTTCTGATCGAATAATATTGATTTTCAAAAATTCTGTAGCATTTCCACGAAAAATAGATTTTTCCCATATAAAATTCATGGAAAAATTTGAGCGCTTTGAGCGACCTCGAAATATTTTTTGATTTCGAAATAAAAAAATAGGGATCTATTTTATTCGTGGTATAGAACAATCCTAGGGGTGAGATGATTGAAATTCCGACTTATCTTTTTTGGGCCACCCTAATGTGCCCACATCTATTCTTATTTTCATTTTTTCAATACAATACCTAAATTCTTAGGAAAATTCTGAAAAATAAGGATGCATACATACATATATGTGTAAAAAAATAAGCTTACAAATTTAAGTTTTAAAATGAAAAAAGAAAATAATAATTTCTGTAACCTGAACTAAGAAAGCAATTAGGTGATTCACAAGTCATCTTAAGCGTAGTGCCTTGAAATTGTAAGCTTTTTCAACGTAAAATAACGGTTTCAATATTTTTAGGCGGTTTTTAGCTATGGCAAAAATTTTTTTTAATCGCTAGAAAATGTATAATTAACTCTTATAGTTAATACCCTGTGAACCCTTAAAACCTTTTTAACCGTTATTTTACGTTGCAACATTTTGCGACTTTGTAACATTACGACGCCTTAGACGACTTGTGAATCTCCCAAATAATTTTAAGTGCACTGTTTTGATTGTTTAAGGTTCTAGATTTTTGAAATTTTATTTATTATAGTACAAGTGATACTCTGTTTGTTTTATTTATTTCGTTTTTTGGATGATTTAATTTGTTTTACTTTACTTTATTAAACATATTTTATTTTTGGTTATTGGATTCGAGAAAATTTTTTGAAAAATTTTTAACAAACTCGAGACCCATTTGGTTAATTAAATTAAATTTAATTTAATTTTTTACTTTGTATTTATTAATTTTATTTTTGTATATTTTTTCCATTTTTTTATGTTATTTCCTTGTTTTTTTTTTAATTTTGTTTTTTATTCTTAGTTTTTCTAAGTGCGTGGTCATTAAAGAAAAAAATTGAAATCTTTTAGAAATTTTTTCTATAAGTATTGTTTTACTTATTATTATTATTTTGATTTACCTGTTGCAATAACAAAACACTCAATAACAATTTCTGCAATTTATTAGCCATCACTTAAAATGCTTGCTTTGTTGGTTTTAAACGAATATAAATTCTTCTTCAAAGCTTTCGAAAAGTTCAGCGGCTTTTGTATTTCGTTGTGAAAATCCACTCACGTTCACAGTTGTTTCGAAACTGAATTGCGTTTTATAATGAAATATAAATTTTGCAATACCTAAAATCGATTTATATATGTATGAAAATAATATATACTACGAGTATGCATGTACATATATGTATATGTATGTACATATGCAAGGCATGGTATGGCATGAGTTATCGCTTTACTTACAATACTAGTGATATGATGAACTATGTATTTGGAAGACGTAAAATATGTACATACATATACATATACATGTGTATATAAATAATTGCGAATATATACTCGCATATTGTAAATAAGTAGGTACGCCTTTTAATTCGAAATCATCAACTTCATGTAGAAGTATATATACATACATACAAACATATATGAATCTCCTTTTGTAGGTACACATACATATGTACTTATTTAGTATGTATATGTACTCATGTGCGAATTATTCGCTTACCAGTAAGCATGATGTGAGCAAAGCGTTGTAAGAAATGTAGAACTTACGGCGCCCCATAATGATCGGATCTAATATACTACATACATATGTAAGTACATACATATGTGTGTTCACTTAGGAACATACATATAAAGTATAATTGGTCCTTATCAGCTACGTTTGGGTGGTCACTGGCTGGGTAATTTTTAATACCATTACTTATGTATATTTGTGGTATTAAGTAGGTATGTATAAAAATATAATATTTAGGCTTTTGTTTTTCAATGAAAAACTTAAACATATACATACATACATCCTCATATACTATAAATACTATAAACTTAACTTATGACTATTAATAAATGTCAGTGGTCACTTATTTATAGTTTAAATGGACAACGCAATCATTTCTTTGCTCAACAATTTATTATAAATTAAAAATAGATCTGCGGTCCAATCAGTGAGTCAGCCACAGAAACTGAACTATTTATTATACAAAGACCCAGAATAATAATTATTTCATGGTGGAGTTTTAAAAACGTCATCAAAATTTTCGTAAGAATTATAAAGGTCTTTTCATACGTTTGCACTTATATCAGCGAGATAAATTTGTTTAAATTTTTATAGAATTTGATCTTGAGACGCATGAACAAAATCTATTTTTATATGGAAGAAAATTTGCAACACCCACGACAAAAAAAAAAAGTTCTCAAAAATCAACGGTATTCTGTAGCGACTTCAAACATGCACTTTTATATCAAAACTCAATGGACTATAAAATTGCATACCAAAAAAATTCTGAATAAAAAGTGTGAAATTTTAATTTTTATACCACATTAATGCAAGATCCAACCAAATCTGGAAGACAATTTTCAAGTAAGATTGACTATTCAGATTTCTTACTAATGTACAAAAATATTACAAAAGCCTGCCCAAAAATCTAGAAGGTGCAAAACTTTGCTTATAGAAACGCCGTCAAGAACGAAATCGCTAAAAAAAAACTCAAGGCATCTACAGTTGTGACGGCTTTGAAAGAATGCTTTGAAAAACAGATTATTTCTTTCATATAAAAAGATTTACAGTTTGCAGGCATGTAGAAAAACATGTATTTTTTTAAATATAGAGCTGTTTTATTTCAAGTTTTTAACTTTTGGTACATTTCTCGAATTTTCGAGTAGTATTTTGTAACTGAATTGAAAATTGCAGTAAAATTAATTTGACGATATTTGTGAAAACAGGTCTGATAGTTCTCTATCCACATACATACATATGTATGTATGTATTTATTTCTATTGCCACATCGAAATTTTAATAAAAATGTATCAAAATTCTTCTTCTTTTCGAACTGACATTCCCACCAATTATGTCTAATAAAATTCGAAATTGCAAAAAATGTGTGTCAACAGTGAACAGCTGTGAGACCAAACAGCTGAAGATGGCAGCCGGCTGTCGGCAGTCAGTTTCAATTTCAATTACACTTGACATTCTGCGAAGAGGCTGCGACAAAAAAAAAAATATACTTAAATAAAATAAAAGAAGTAAATCGAGGCGTTAAGTAAATGAACTGAGCATAGGAACTACATATAAGCAAGATATAAAAATATCTGGGCGTACAAACTGCGTGCAATCTAATCGAAGGGTAGAAAAGGAAGAAAACAACGGGCGAGCAATGTCTAAATGAAAAAAAGAATAACTGCTGTTGCTGGCATGGAAATTTGAATACATTTGGTTTTAATTCAATAGCAGTATATGTATGTATGTATGCATTGGCATTGTTTTGGTTTTCATTGGCGATAGTAAAATATTGCCTTCAACGCGCCGTTTTCGTGTCTACAGAGCGTATGCGCAACAGAAATGCACACATGCAAAAATGTATACGCTACCCTGTCGGAATAAAGCAGCCAATTTAAAAATTAACCAGTTTAAAGAGTAAATTACTTTGAAACAAATGCAACATTTCGGCTACTGATTTTGAACATCTTTAATGCAATTGAAAGTAGTTTAAATCATATGCAATATAGCTGGACAATTGTCAAAAATAATTTTTCACTATGTAAAACCCTTTTGATTTAATTTTTTCCACTATTTGTTTTATAACAAGTAATTTAGCAAAAAAAAACCGACTTCCATTCTCATATAAATATATATATATATATATATATGTATATGTATCTCATGATTCAATGATCAGATCTACCTTTCCGATGCAAAAAGAATTATCGAAATCGGTTGACGTGGTCCAAAGTTAAAAAAATATTCCCACGAACTGACAACCTCCTCCTTTTTTGGAAGTCGGTTAAAAATACAGTTCATGCTGCAACGAAATACGTAAAAATATTATTTCGGCAGCCTGTACAAAATGCAGGAAAATGCAATAAACGCTGGCAACGCTGGTTTAATTGCCGTCTAAAAACGCAAATATAAAAGCTTAGTTTTTGTTTTGCGTCTCCAAACTATAAAAAAAATACATATAACATTAAAACTGAGCTAGGCGAACTGGAGTACCCCTATCAAGGAGAGATGCGTCCAGGCGATAACATTAAGAGAGTATACAGAAGGCTCTAAAACTCCTGAAGGGATAGGAGCAGGTCTTTATGGCCCTAGACTGAAGCTTTCGGTGCCCCTGAGAACCAGCCCCAGCATCTTTCAGGCGGAAGTTTATGCCATTACTCTGTGTGCTGAGATTAACCTTCTTAGGAAGTATCGAAGCGAGAGGATCCTAGCCAGGCGGCAAACAAGGTTCTCTCATCCTTCGAGATCAAACCACCGGTGGTCCTGAGGATGATGTGGAGATGGCTTAATACTCTGGCTGAGAACAGGGCATATGGGAGTCGAAGGTAATGAGAAAGCGGACCCCCTGACTAGACTGGTTGCTGTCTCGATCTCGATAGGACCGGATCCCTTTGTTTCAATAGGTCCCAACACGATAAGCGAAACGCTCAGGCAGGAAAACACCACGCCAAGGGAACTGCATTGGCGTAATATCAAAAGCGTACTAGGAGGGTACAATCTAAAAAGATACAGGAAACTCATATGCCTCCCTAAGGAGAAACTAAGAATCATTACAGGTATTTTGAAGGGCCAACTCCGGGTTAAGACCTCACTTGTATAATTTAGAAATCTGGTTTAGTGAGCTATGTCGCGTCTGTGACGCTGGCATAAGAAGGGAGGGGAGCGTAGGGCTTTTATGGCCCCCGGGATCTATTCTGAAATTTCTAGAGTCTCTCTGGCTAAATAGTTGAGGTAGGGCACAATAGATCTACTGGTCGCAATGATTTATTGACCTCTGTCTATCGTCATTATCTATCTGTGTAGTGCAGAACGAAAGCGTATTCAAACGAAATCTACTGACTTTGAAGTTCTTTAAACCCAATTGTTTTTGAAAGGAATTGAAATTATATGCAGAGTCGGACAATTGACTTTCTCCTAGGACATCGTAATGTTAATAAAGTCAGTTGCTTACAAGAAAACCGGCAGAATTTCAACTACATGTAGTAGATAAAAAAGGTACTAATTAAATTACTTTTACAGCTAATTTCACGAATTTTATGTGGGAATCGCTGTTGAAACCAGCTGTTAAAGTAGTTGATTTTCCGACAGGGTAGTGCCAACTTATGTACGTATGTTTGTGGGTATGAGTACAGCTACCAATCAAATTGGCATCCAATTGCAAACATTTTATTCTTGCTATTGAAATTCTTTCCATAATCGCTGGCGCCAAATTTGCTCTGCTTCTGGCTTCCCATTTTCAATGCCCTTCTTCTTCTATCGCTCAAGTAATGCAATTCGCTAAGTTTTGCCATCAAGTGTCGATTTTTATTTTATTCTATTCTATTCTATTTTATTCTCTGTATTTAAGAAACACTTGTTCCTTAGCACATTGACATATATGTATTTCGTTTTCGCGTCTCATCTACATAGTGTCTCCAAGCGCACATTTCTGCCAACACATTGGCGCTTCATTGTGCGTTTATGTATTTGTGCGTACGTCAATGGGTCAATTGAAAATATGTAAAAAAAAAAAAAAAAAATAAATACGAAGCTATAAAATAATAAATATTATGCCTACTGTGCGATACAAAATGAGCTGTGAGCAAACACAAATTTGAGTCACACAAAAATTGTGCGAGGAGCATTGAAGTTCATTCAGGGTTCAGTTCAATTAAAATTGCGAATTTTATGCATACGCGGATTTTCAAGGTTTCTTTGGTGTTGATATATGTATACTCGTATACACGCATTTAAGTATTTACTCTAGTTCATAGTATTTTTGCAAGTAAACGCACTTACATATGCACACATGCAGTTGCGATTCTACAAACATACTTCTCGACCCATTTAATATTTCTCATTCTCTTATTTTTTTCTTTATAGCAACTCCGCAACTGGAAAACGTTATATCAGTAATGCTTGCATTGGCGTCTACAAGCGTTATCACATCTGCAACGAGCAGGTATTTAGGACGGTCATATGCCGCTTGTACGCAATCGTGCATTATTACTCATTTATTTACACATAAACAATGTATATAAATGACCAGTTTGCTTATAAATACATCTCCATACATACATACATATAATGGTAATTTTCCTTTGCTTTGCCATAGCCTTGTCCTGCCGCTTTGACTGAC